TAACCAAATGCCTTCAGGGAAAACGTATTTACGTTAAAACTATATTTTGATTTTCTTAGTTAGCGTACCACTCAACATTGGCTCGCGTACCACCAGCGGTACGCATACCATAGGTTGAAGAACGCTGATCTATTATATGCACAGATATGATCCTCACCTTTATGTCGGGGTATCCTGTTATTCTTTCCCCCCAGGATTTTAGATTTACAATTTATGCTTTTCTTGTCTCTCCGCGTTAGTCAGTGAGAAATCGCTAAGAACGCATTAGAAAAGTATGTGCTTTCTGACTCTTACTGTTTCGCTGTTGTTATGATTCACCTATATTCGTATTATGTTCTGTATGCATGTAACTCGTTTGTAACAAATGCCTAATAAGTGCTAATTTTACCGGAATGCGTAGAGTAATAAAACTTCTAGGACTGGTCAGAATTTGTGTTGGTGGGAATGCCTTTGCCTCTGGGTTGTTTTATAGCCGATTCGTAATTGTAATAGCTGCACTTGGTCCTCAGGTGGACTCCCTGCAGAGACCAAATAATTTGTTAGCCCAGTGCAGAGACGTATCGAGTGTGAATGGCACTGTGAAGGAAGTAAATCATGAGATGTTTCGCTTCGAGGTGCGGTACACTTCTTTTCTGGGGGTAATGAGGTTTGTTTACGTGGAGATATGAGGCACGTTGCTGCCATATTTCCTCCACTTGTCGACGTGGTGTAATTGGAAATTATGGCGACCATTCTTCACCTCTGCTCGAACCTCGAGGGCGAATCTGCAGGAGACTGCGGCTAGCTGTTATGTTTGGGGAGGTGAGCCTGCGTCATTAAACATTGTTTAAGGTGACCCGATGGTAGGGGGCAGAGTCCCCGCGGGGCATTGTGCGGACAGTTCCGTGTCCTTTTCCTCAATCCCATAACGATGTACAAGGAACTTGCATGCAAAGTTTTAAGGTACAGGGCTGTTTTACTATAAGAAAGTAGGTCTATCTGTAGGAACACTTAGGGTGGATGAAGTAAATGCTTTATTTTTTTTATTAAGATACAGAATATCTAAATCCTTTAGAAATAGCGAGTTTACGTCACTTCGATTCGACGTATGATCATTAAAAATTGAAAATAATTAATGTTGAATTTTAGATCGCATAACGAGACATTTTAAACGCAGTTCCCTATCTAAAGGACCAAATGTTTAGCGTTAAAAAGGTTGATTTTTCTTCCTGTTTTGAATGAGTGATAATTTTCGATCTCTCATTCTGCATAAACAAGACGTTGACTCTGTGACAGCATGCACAGGACGATGAAAAGGTATCTACATAGATGACGTAACATGAAGTTTGAGACGATTACTGTAACTATTAAAGTAATATGCTTAAGGTAACTAAATACGGATGGATGAAATGAGGATGACAGAGAAACGCATTTGACGGTGAATTTCAAAATGAAGAGATCGTTTGGGAGATTTAGATATGGAGTGAAAATAATACTAATATAGATCTTAAGAGTCTTAGATTGTGTGGTATCTACCGACGAGTCTACACGGCGCCAGACCCTAGAAAAATTAACATTATCATCCTAACTGCCGTAAAATCCTCAGATCTTTCAAAGTTAAATCTAAATGAACAAGTTTTCTCTAGAATTGTAAGTCGACATGATAGTTTAAGATTTCGCAACCCTGGGTCACAGGATGGGTCACCCTGAAGGCAAAATCTGAACGTAGTTCACATTTTGAAAATTAAGATTGCTAAAAGATTAATTCTTGTACTAAAAACCGTCTCCTTTCACATTTATTATATTACTATTATTATCATTACACTTTAGTACATAGTATAATTTGTTGTTATTCATTCCACGTATAGAGTGTATATTTATTGCATCTTCGAACAGGCGTTTCTATGCGTTAGGAATGAGATGTGTAATTTATAGGCAAAAGTATTCTTCAAAGGGAATGTCTCGAGGTTTCTCTGTATTACCGCAAATAATGCATATTACGAACATTGGTTACAAAATACGACATCCTCCGGCATTAATCACGTAATTTTGAAATATTAAAATAATAGTCATAACTCTAACTGGTGTTGTATTTAGAAATATACGCATTTCTCTAACAGGTTAGGTTAGGAGCTCAGTATTTATTTGACTTGTTCGTTATTCGTGCTCGAACACACATTCTTCGTTTTAGAGCTCGAACTAGGGTTAGTGTGTTAAAGAAAATGGAAGATCAAATGAAAATACACTTCTTACACGTCAGATTAAATCGCGATACTGCAAGAAATATGGAGGCTGAGTGGTAATCGGCCGTGTATTAAAACAGGCACATGATTAAAGGCTTGACGGGCGAAAAGAGACGTCATTTTACAAGGACACTCCGTACAAGGTGTAGTGTTCATTGGGATAATTTCTTAAATTAAATTTGCCAAGTGTCAAGTATCGGAATAGGGATTAAAGATTTAACATCAGTAATGGAGACACGTATTGTTAAATTAGGACTGAGATGGGTAGGACACACAGCACGCGTGGATGAAATTTAAACATACATAATTTTAGTTGAGAATCTCAAGCTAAGAGACAATGTCAAAGATCTGAGCTAGACAGAAGAGTAATATTTGAATTAATGTTGAACAAATAAGGTGAATTGGATCAAGTATTGTCCATACGGATTCAGCTGAACACTCCTTGGTATATCGGCCAGAGAATCGCGCGAGATTTGAGGTTTACTTGTTGGGAATTTTGATTGTAGTCTTGTAGGTAGTTTAGGAGAAATCTATCGCCACTGCCTTTAGGGTAAAAGTGAATTAAGCTTTGGACGTGGCTGCAGTAAAGCAGACGTTTGTGGTCGATGTACTCTGCTTTACGTGGACTCTTGAACAGATGTGATCGAGGGGCGACACTTGCATTTTTCTTCCGCTATGTACCTCTTGGCTGAGGAGATCAGACTAGTAAAGGACTCGTAAAAGTTAAAATACGGAGCGGTGTGACGGGTGATAGTAGTGGCACGTTGAAAACATTGACGACGATGGCGCATTCTTGTTACTTACGATGCCAGTATTTCTTTACATCAGATGTGGTATTGAAGATGGTTGTCTTAAGATGAGTGCTGTCTTCTGGGTTATTGCGCCGTGTAGTCTGGTAGATTTCCACGCAACATCCCAGAAGACAGCAATCTTCAGACTCACCGCTGTGAAAACCTCAAATCCTACATATTTCGTCTTGTAGTCTGGTAAAAATTGACATACGTTAGGTGCGAAAAACTTGGCAGTTTTCTTTTAACCCCGAAGTATTGAGGTCATTAATGCGTAGTTTTACCATGACAATCCTTACAAACCACACCGTCATGGAATGGTGTCTGGGAACGAAAATATTTGCATACAGTTTTCTGTGATACTGCTTTGGTGTCAACTTGGTTGAAAGAAGAAATATTACCAGTTTCATGTGTCTTGAAACCTGCATTTCTTTTACCCATATCCTTGAACAGCTTCCTGAGCGCCTCGTAACGATAGTTAACACAGGGAAGATTCACATGGATCGTACGTAATAACCTGATTGTATCAGCTAAAGTGATGGACAGCCATCAGGATTTGCTTCATCCTAACAAGTCCGCTTAAACCTGTCGGTGAAATATCGGCTTCGTCTACATTTTGCCAATACGACCGTCTCGGTGGCAAACCTGCTTTGTATCCTACATATCGTCGATTCGATTCACGGAGCAGAGGCTGGATATTGTGACTGATAATCTGAGACATCACAAAAATATCTTTGGCAGGGGTTAATTCCTTACAACACGTTGACCTTTGATTGCATTTGATAATTTTCCTCAGTGCACAAAATCAACGCTTAATATTGAGGTCATATTTCCGGTCCGTTAACATATCAAATCGTCTAACAAATATTTCTTAGTATGAATCCTAAATATTTCTGCATATATCAGCCATATTAAGAGGTCGCACTATATGATGTCAATATTTTTAGTTCCTTTTAGTAACTACTCCATATAATATTACTTGATTGATGACTTATTGTGACGTTAGTTGGATCATGAGTGACATGTGCTTATATCTGGCACAAATCCATTCGTACTGAGTTCATAAACATAGAAAAATGGATTCATTTTACATGTTGGTCTTTAGAGAATTTCACATTCGACTGTAAATAGTAGGAACGTCTTACGGACTTAACAATTCTACACGGGGTCGTCTTAGGCCGTCGTTGTTATAACAGTGATTTGAATTCCTTGGTGAATGATAGTACATTTTATTGTTCTGTTCACGACAATTGATCGAAGGAAACACTAAACCTCCGACTGTGACGTGGATTCCAAGTACCGCAATGCATACATAAGTGATCTTCCGCTATTCAAAGGTAAACATCCCATTCATTGGAGGTAAAATGGGGTCATGTTCGAGCAATTTCAGTTTATCACTTCGAGCAACCATTTCATTTGCATACCGGGTGCACGTACGTGGGGGAATAAATCCAGATAATCACCTTTCATGTTTTTGTCTGTGAAATCAGTTCCACACCACAGTTTACTCGAAATTTTATAGGCAGATTTAGTTATGGAATTTACAGAGACACGTATCAAACACTCACTGGTTCAACGTGTACGTTCTGATGAAAAATTGTGTATCACGAGTTTTTATGAGTCGCCATTTTTCATACTTCGACGTGATCACATGCTTTCGGACTATCAGTGTAAGAAGACACAAGATTATACACACGTAACTGAGACACCTGCAATTGTTGATAAGACTAGGGGCACACTGTTCTTACTTGAAGAACTCTGTCCTGAAGCAGGCGAATCTAGTGCACAGTCTCGCACCATATTACTTTGAGATCAGTTTTTAATATTATCCTTTCATCTGGGCTTTGATATTCATAGCAGTATAAATACTCTAACATTTTCAATTACTTTTGGTTTGTAATTAAATCGCTGCAGTATACTTTGTTAAGTCAGCAGTTATGATATTATCACACGTTGTGCTAAGTACGGTCATATTATTTATTTGTTTCAGGAGTCAGACCTGCGGTACAAGGGATCCAGTGGAGGATTCGAGGAGTACTTCAAGTCTGTAAGTTAAAGATTTCACTCTGACTTAAAAATAACTTGTGAAACATCCCAAAGCGGTCAGTGATTGTGCCCTTAATAAATTAGTGTATGTTTAAACCAACAATTTATTAAAGAGACGAAAGTTCCTTTATTATGAAACATTGAAGCGAGGTGTTGTTTTGGGCTGGCAATGTAACATGCATACGGATACAGTAAGAGAGTTAGTGGAAAGCGGACACTTGAAAGACCATCACGAAGAAGGAAAGATAACTTTGAGATGTGCTTTAAATTTGCTAGTACGTTAATTCTTCTTGAAGTGTTTAAATTATGTAGCAATAAATGGAAAGTTGATATTAAAATATGTATTTACAAGGGATGTGGAAAATAGTGGCCTGTTGTAAGATACAGTCGTGAAGGTATCCTGGAGTGACTTGGAGAAACAACGAAACACTCGTTAGCTAGTGACCTCAGGGCCGAGAATTGAAACCGGGACCTCTAAAATACAAAGCAGGGGTGCCAACCACGCAGTTGTCAAATTTCAGCCTCTCCTGAAAAATATTTGTGACTTTTATCATATGACTAAAGTAAAATATTTAATTTTTTCTTGGTTTTTATACTGTAAATTTAGTTAAAATAAATTAAGCTTTACAAAGCGGAGGGTAAATTGTTTTAAATGAATCATAGGATCATTACTTAAAACACAGCTATCATGAAATTGAACTTGAGATGAACAGTTAAATTCTCTACGGCACCCTAGTGCTAGAAACAACTTTTAAACAACGAGATTCTCTCATTCAGTCACTCAATCAAAGCAACATTGTATTGAACAAATCGAATTTATGCAACATCATGATCCTCTATTAACTTTGGGGTGCATATGAACTGAACCTTAAAATGAAGTCTGGAAGAATCTGATGTATGAAGAGCCCCAAGTGACTGATGGAAGTAACATATCCGAGGGCTTGACCCTTGCCTGTTGTGAGCGAATTTATCTTAAGAATCACAGTTCAAAGTACAAAAGTGACAGGACATACGTGGGCGTTCGCTTCTACATCCCTGCGCAATTTAATGTCGTATATGCTATGTATTATATGTATGCAAAGTATTTGTGTACGCAACACAGCGACTAGCATAGTTCAACGTTGTTTGTCATTTGTCAATGCATTCCCTTCTCCTATCTCTTATGTTGTCCTGTGCATCAGCTTCTGGTAGTAAGATTAGAATTCGTACTGACGAGACATGTGAATAGCTTACTATAAAGTGTTGGAATTTTTTTCCGGGCCGCTTCCTTTCCTTGTCTGTCATGGAGTCGGCTCGCTAAATGAATGGAAACGTGCGGGCTTTGCTGCACGATACGGTACTATTGTGTATTCCCTAGATAAATGGCTCGCAACTTGTCTTGACCAGAAAATTTTTAAAATAAATTGTGAAAGAGACCTCTGTTTGGAGCTAAGCTTCGTGTTAAGATTATTTTTTATTTTAATGTTACTAGAATCTTGCATCCCACGCGTTTTCTAGAGACCAGGATACATTTTAGAAGTATCATGAATTGTAGGACGTGTCGTGCTTCGCTGAGAGTATGATTTTTGTACTTTGAACTGCGAGATCCATGGCCATTTGTTTGTATAGTGTGTGGCATAAATGTAAGGCGCAGGGTTAAGTACTGCACAACAAATCAGCGAATAAATTAGGCTGGAAAAACTCTCTTACCACCTTTAGAGCCCACTTCCCCAAATTTCCAACGCATCTTCATATTTCATCGGCGATGTCCTTCTGCGTTGTGACGCCGTGTAGATTCTTAGGTAGATACCAGCGTTTCGGAGAAACATGTAATCACCGTCTTCGACCCAGAAGATGGAGTCACCATGTTTCTCAGAAATGCAGCGAAAGGCTCCCCATCGTTCAAAGGGTAGACATGGTACTAACGTAGTGGCTCGTTCCGGAGGTACGGGAGTCCGAAGACACTAATGACTCTTTACTTCAGTGGCAAAAATTCAAGTTTCGTGAAGTAGAATTTAAATATTACGGCCCACGACAAAAGAGTACTTAAATATAATGAAATTACCTCATAAATCTGAGTCCTAGCTCTTCAGAGGCAAGTTTGAGTGGGCAGAAATTACCTA